GTGATATTCGAAGGCGTCTGACACCAGTATTGTTCAACGGCGTTACTATAATTGAAGGCGATTAAATACTGAATACTTTTTGATAGGGTCTCTAATATCTCTTGGCTTCTAATCAACTGACTGTAAGTATTAAAATATACATATTTGGTCTTGATGAATTAACATGCGCTACAGTAAATGCTTTCCAATTCGCTGATCTTAACCAGTAGACCTGACTCGTCAATGGAGGCAAGACCATCACTTCTGAGGCAGTCATAAAAGTCAATCAAAATCAAATGCCAAATAAAACTACCAGAAGTGATCTTCTTTCATTAGGGAAATACTCCAACACATACGTCCTTGGTTTCTGTCATATAAGAGTTGGTGCCGACTCTGGAGTTTGAACAAAGATCACCAGTGAGAAAACACAGGTGATTCCATTTCTAATAAGTAGATCACGTGATTGTAACGGAAATATATATACATGGTAATTAGCGTGGCGTCTAATTGATCACTATTTCTATTCTATCCTCTATTACTATACGGATCACTCTTTCTACACTATCCTCTATTTCTATACTATTCACTCAACTATTTCACTATTCTGATCCATATTAGGATTACTATTCGAGCTAGTATTATCGAGCAAGTACTATTAATGTGAGTGCTATTCGAAGTCATCTGACACTAGTATTATTCAACGGCGTACTATAGTTGTATCTGCGATTACAAAGTCTCTACTACAACGAGCATTACGAAAGTGACAACGAGTATTCGTTGACATCACAAAAATAACGTAGGAAATCACGATCCTCCACAGCTTTCTATTCTATTTTAGTACCAAAACAAATGAAAATAGACACATAGGAAAGGGAGTTTCGACTCACACATTGGGAAGAGGGTAGTGATTATTAAAAACAAAGGAACAATTCGAAATGATAAACGTTAAAGGAAAAAACAAATTATTATTTTTTTAAATCATTTTAATCTCAAGCAAAAGTCACTAAGAAGTAGGGGATTCCTGAGCGTGAAAGAATATAAGAAAAAGAACACATTATCGAGGACAATAAAAGAACAAGATTTAAAAAGCCAAAAGATAACGATTGACATTGTATCTAGATTTTTGAAGATCAAACTCGACTGTAAAGGAAGATGCTGGTAAATAAAATACTTAGATGGAACCGTGTGTTCGATACTAATAGTTTCTATTTGATAATATAATACATAAAAATGCCTAAAAAAAAAATCCAACTTCATTTTCTTGTTTCTTGTCTCGTTGAGAAAGATCACAGGTGTGTCAGAAAGTTCCAATTTAAAAATCTTTCCAATACGTGCTTCCATTTAGTCCGTAAAAATATAAAAAAAAGTACTACAAATCTTATTGTAAACATTTTTTAATTATCTCTCCGATTTATTTCACATGCCTATATCTACACATGTGTGCGTATATATATATATATATATATATATATATATATATATATATATATATATATATATATGGTGTTTGTGTGTCTGCGTGCGTGTGTGAATATGTGGGGGTGCGTGTGGGGGTGCGTATTTTCAGACAGAATATTTTTTTTCAAACAGATTTGGTTAAATGATTTAGGCATACAATGTCGTTTTATTTTGGTTGTGGTCTTTTCAAATGAAATGTTTTTAATTTACCGAAATACATGTACACATTCACAGAAAATTTAACCCCCTCAAGATGGTCTCAGATGAGATTGAATATAGTTTGGGTAATAAAAACTCTTTGAAAGAAAATTTTGGTAATTTTCTAATCAATTTTCAAAGGTTACGAAGAAATTAATCCATGAACTTGAAGCTTATCCTAGAGTAGACGTCTCACGTGCCACTTATCTGATCAAAGTAGTTTAAAAAGGCACTTAGCAACCCACAGATTAAAAGAATCCACAAAAAAATTCTGTTCGAAAAAACTGACATTTTCTATAAATCGAATTACCGAAAACAACTGGATGTGAGAGAGGCCCTGTATAAAAAACATCTCGCCCCGAGAATAAATCTCAGCTTATTCAACAGCGGAAATGATACTGAAGTTTTTAATTTTTATGTTTTGTTTTTAGAAAAAGAGGCTTACTCGAATTCCAAGCGAGCTCTACACGTGAATCTCGGAATAAACGTTGTTGTTTTGTATTCAAGACAACAAAAATGAATACATCTTAAATAGTAAAGTATGAAAAGAAATTGGCAAAAACATTAACATTTTCTATAAATCGAATTACCGAAAACATCTGGATATGAGAGAGGCCCTGTATAAAACATCTCGCCCCGAGAATAAATCTCAGCTTATTCAAAAGAGGAAATTGTATTGAAATTTATATTTTTATGTTTTGTTTTTAGAAAAAGAGGCTTACTCTAATTCCAACAGTGCTCTACACGCGAATCGCCGAAGAAACATTGTATTTTGTATTCAAGACAACAAAAATGAATACATCTTAAATAGCAAAATATGAAAAGAACTTGGCAACACTTAAACACAAACCACCTTAAAAATGGCTAAAGTGGTGGCCGAAAGATCTTGCGACAATGGATAATATGGACAATGTTCCCCTTCCCTATTCCCACTAAACGAAAAAAGATAAAAAATTAGCCAAATTTTCCTTATCTCTCACATTCAAGGAACTATGTTTAAAATAAATATTGCTGCTAAAATATACATTAATACAGACGTTTTCACATACAAATATATATATATATATATGTGTGTGTGTGTGTGTGTGTGTGTGTGTGTGTGTGTGTGTATGCGTGTGTGTGTGTGTGTGTATGTGTGAAGAAATATAGTTTTAAGGTGTGCTATATTTATGGGATAAAGTGCTCAATATCAGAGATGGAACGTATATCAATATAAATATAAAAGTCAACATTGAAGTCAACATTCAGAGGCGACCGGCTCTTTCATGCTGGACGAAATCGTCAGGCCGCCTGACGATTGGGTCCTGTCGCTTCTTAGTGTTGACTTCAATGTTATATATTATATATATATATATATATATATATATATATATAAGTGCGCAGGTATGCAGAAAATAGAAAAGAACACGTTGAGTGCTTAATCCGGAGTTCCTTAGTTTTTTTGTTTTTATTTTTAAGAAGACAGTGCTCCATACAGAAGTAGAGCTTATATTATAAGTCGTTATGTGTCGGGAGGATTGTGTTTTATTATTGTCTATCGGATTATCTCTTTATTTATTTGTTTATTCAAGTGGGTGTTTCATATACAAACCGTATTGCACTGAATTTCAATTTGTTTTTTAACGACTACAGAAAGGGTTTTTCCTATTTAATGATTTGGCTAAGCTTTTAAGACTTTTATTAAACTATGGGAATTTTTTATGCTAATTATTTCATGCGAAAATTTGTTGATGTCGGCAAAAAACAGTTAACTCCTGCCTATGGTTTAATAATTTTTCATTATTTAGAAACTTGATCCACGTGACACATAACGACTTGTAGGCGCGCCATAAAAATATCCCTCACTGGGAACTAACTAGAGGATGACCGCCAACATTAGCCTTGAAATAGATACCCTACCCAACCTTAGCAAAACCTCTCGGAAGATGATGAATCTATAGATAAGAATTAACTCTCTGACCACTTAACGAAGACAACTCGCATAGCCACTCCCACAATAACGAATGTTATGACGGACCATGCCTAAAAATACACGTAAACCAAGAGATAGCTTATTCCTAAAATTTCACTTGAAGATGAAACGGGACTAAATATCTTAATTCAACTTAATTTTAATAATTATTTGGATGGTTTCGGCTCTCGTTTTTGAAACATGAGAACTCTTATGTAGCGAAGGAATCATATTTTTAAACAAAAATATTATAATATATTATATATATATATATATATATACACACACACACACACACACACATATATATATATATATATATATATATATATATATATATATATATATAAACACACACACAGATATATATAACAGTAAAACAACGCGAAAATTCCTGCGAGTTTTTTTCTGAAGATTTCTATAGAGTGGAATCTTATGTGTGTGTTTGTCCATTGTTGCACGAACTTAACACGGTGGTAGCTTCATTTTGATAAGCAAGGCGAATTTGAAGAAGCCGATTACAATTTGGAAGAAATATCTGAAAATACAGATAAAGAAATCACATTAAGAAAAAAAAAACAAAAAAACCTTAAGATTCCAACTTGTTGAATCACCCAAAAAGATTTATCTGAATGTCAAACCTAAGAAGAAAAAAAAATCCATATAACTTTGATAAAAAGTCTATATCACGAGTTCGGTATACAAATCGTATAATGGGAGAATGAAATGAAATTTTAAGAAATCACCTTTGAACAAATATATTGCAAAGAAATGTTTTAGTTATATCATTCATAGTAAGTAGTTATTCTTCTATTAGTTCGAAATAATTTTATCATTTTGGTTGATAAAGATGTTATGTCTATACATTGTCTATAAATGTATCTATATCAACTATATTTGACACTGAAAATAAAAGAATCCCCAAAAAATAGACAGATTCGAACTAATCACGTTTTATTTTGGGGATTTTTAGGGATTAATGGATATCATTTATCAGTTATCTCCTGTTAATCCCCCTCTCCAAATTTTCAAACGCATTAACCGGGTATTGAACTCACACTCTTTGGGTCCTGTCACTGGATCTAACGAACGTTTTTATCCACTGTGTCACATGACTTTAAATACACCCCAGTGAGCGAAATAAAGGGTTTAGTTCGACATTCCAACCACCTGAAGAAGGTCGGAGCGTACAACAGTCGAAACGTCGTAATAAATATGGCGACAAAGATGAGGACAATAGTCCGAATAATGTAAATAGTGTACATAATACATCATCTCAGAAATATAGACAGATACTGAAAGGCCGAAACGTTGTGATAAATATGGCGACAAACATGAGGACAATAGTCCGAATAATGTAAATAGTGTACATAATACATCATCTCAGAAATATAGACAGATACTGAAAGGCCGAAACCTTGTAATAAATATGGTGACAAAGATGAGGACAATAGTCCGAGTAATGTAAATAGTGTACATAATACCTCATCTCAGAAATATAGACAGATACTGAAAGGCCGAAACCTTGTAATAAATATGGTGACAAAGATGAGGACAATAGTCCGAATAATGTAAATAGTGTATAGAATACCTCATCTGAGAAATATAGACATATACTGAAAGGCCGAAACCTTGTAATAAATATGGTGACAAAGATGAGGACAATAGTCCGAGTAATGTAAATAGTGTATAGAATACCTCATCTGAGAAATATAGACATATACTGAAAGGCCGAAACCTTGTAATAAATATGGTGACAAAGATGAGGACAATAGTCCGAATAATGTAAATAGTGTACATAAGACCTCATCTCAGAAATATAGACAGATACTGAAAGACCGAAACGTTGCAATAAATATGGCGACAGTGATGAGGACAATAGTCCGAATAATGTAAATAATGTACTGATTAGTTCGATAAGATCAAAATGGCAGCCGATGATCAAAACTACCTAAAGTTTGTTGTTAACTGGAACAAAAGATGGCTTCTTATTTTTAATACCTGTAAAATTAAACATTTCTCCATTCATCATCTGAAAGAGAGCTCTCTGCCTTCCATCAGCATGACTGATGCTAGCCTCTAGGAAAGTGACTCTTTTCGACTTCTCGGGGTAACTTTCTCAGCTGACCTAAAGTGGAAAGATTATATTGAATCCGTCAGTTAATTAAGTGCCAAAATAGTTGGTTCACTGGGTCGTGTGAGATAATTTCTATCCAAAATCTATCATACATATCTATAAGTCTACCATTCGTCCATGCTTACTATATTGCTACCACACATGTTCCAGTACCCCTGATATTTTCCTTGAGTTTCTTGATAAAATTCAAAAATGAATCAGCAATAATATTGCTAATGATCTGGAGGCTCAGTGTCAGTCACTTTACCAATGCCGTAAGGTTACCTCCCTGTGAATTTTCTATAAATTCTTTCATTGGAAGGATTCGGATCATCTCTTCGATTTTTTAAAATTTAACCGCAATACTAGACTAGCGTCGAGATCTCATCACTTTACAATTGAGCTAGCCAGGTACAGCCGTAAGTTCTATGATAACAGTTTCTTCTCTCGCTTTTCTTACACGTGGAACTTCCGATTCCATGCATTCCAGCCAACTTTAATCTCCAAAAATTTAAATGCAATATCAATCGCTATCTACTGTCCTCCTGATTACTCTTCTTGTATTCCCGCTCCTTAGCATTGTTCCTGATTCTAACTCTTCCACGCCCAGTAACCCCCTGTGTCTCATTGGCTTTACTGCCATGCTTGTCGTGAAATCGAAAAAGTCGGAAGAACTGTGATGTGTTGGTTATTGTGTTAAAGCCATCAGGTCATGTGTTCAGTCCTGGTAGTGACTCACCAATTTAGTAGGAACGAACATTAACTGATATCATAGGAACAAAATATCACTATAATCGACCGATATCTTATATCAACTAGTCAATGTACACCTGGTGATTATCAGGAATTACTTTGGCGAAAAGATGTTTCTCAATAGTTCGAAATAATACAAGAATATTGACTATTATGATAAAAAGCGGAAATAAATAAATAATACTAAACTAAATTATTGTTATAGAACCCAGTCTGTCCTGCTATTTACCCAGGAGAAGAGGGTGAAGAAGAGGATTAATACCTTTTCCAATGTAAGTCAATGTAATTCGACTAGAATTCGCACTCCGATTCCTCAGGCCGAGCCTCTATTCACTACTCCACCGTACCCCTCCTAAGTTATAGTTATTATCATCATCATTGTCATATATATATATATATATATATATATATATATATATATAATGATAATAATTATAAACTATATACATATATGTTTAGTGTATTGCGGCAGCAGATCAGTATATATATATAAAAACCACTTAAATGGAACGTTAAAGTGGTCTGTTTTTATTCAAATCATTTGCTCTTGATTTACATTGAGTTCTCTGGATTTTATCCTCCTTAGGTTTACCCATACGGATTACCTAGTTTTTCATAAACTATCTAACTAACTAACTAACTAACTATATATATATATATATATATATATATATATATATATATATATATATAGATAGATAGATAGATATAGATATAGATATAGATGCTGTATCAGAAGTACTTTTATAAACTTGGGTGTGGAATTTTTCACATCCAAACAAGAATTGATGTCTAAAATAAGCATATATTCCGTTTTTGAGTTATTCAGTTTAATGGAAGTTTGTCGCAGATGACGTTCTGTTGCCTTGTAGACTAGGTTTCATTTGTTATTCGTGTATATCTTTCGCTTATTTGTTTTCAACGTTTAATGTAAAACAATTTTAACTTGTTTTGGTGTCATGAACCCGCCCCAAAGTTTGTAAAAGGATTTTTAGATTGTATCTTAGATAGTACATTTATCAGTGTCTACCATAAAATTTAAACTTTAATAACCCAAAACTGAAGATTTTGCTGACATATGTTTATACGGATTTGTGTTCTTGGTTTGGTGTGAGAAACCCACCCCCAAATTTTGTAAAATCATTTTGATACGACTTGTGTATGAGTAAATTCAAAATAAAATATTGTTGGCTGTTAATGTTGACAATTAGCATACGTTAAATGATATAACTGAAAATCTATCACATTTGACCAGTATCAAATGAGGTGATGATTAATATTAAATTAGATATAATATCACCGTATACTTATCGAAAGGCATTTCAAGAGTTTCGTTATGAAAATTACGAAATTTTCTGTCGAATTTCGGTAATTTGTTAATGTTGTTATATCTATTATATCACAATAGTCAAGAAATTTTCCATATCAGCCAAACAATGGCTACCTGATGATGTAACTGGTTGAAATGTTGTGTTTATGATAACATCAAAAAAAAATGAAAACAACAGTTCAAAATAATATGAGAATATTGACAATTACTTATCTCAGAAACGAAATAATACATGAGAGTTCTTCATTATCTGCTTTTAATAGATGTTTACAAAAACAGATTTGCGTACAAGGAGGATTTGAAAGAATCTATAGTAATTATTATGGTCATAAAGCCATCTTATTAATTCGACTGATTTAATTAAGCGACATAATTAACTGCACAAATTGTAACTATCTATCTATCTATCTATCTATCTATCTATATATATATATATATATATATATATATCGAGAGAGACAGACAGACAGATGTGAACACACTGTAACAGAACGCGAGATATTTAAGTATATATAGACATCTTCCATAGATAGTTAGATAGACATGAGCTGTTTAATTAAATAGGAAATTTATATATATATATATATATATATATATATATATATAGAGAGAGAGAGAGAGAGAGGAAGAGAGAGAGAACAGGCTGTAATAGAATAGGGAGATACTTAAACTATATAAATATCTTCCGTAGATAGCTCGATAGATAGATGTGAACAGACTGAAAAGAAAATTCTGTCTCTCTCCACACACACACATTTATATATATATATATATATATATATATATATATATATAGACTGAGAGTGAGAAAGGAGAATGAGAGACAGACAGGGACATATATGAACAGATTGAAGGTAAACGCTTACATAGATAGATAGATAGATAGATAGATAGATAGATAGATAGATAGATAGGTAGGTAGGATTTCTGCTCCTCAGCACTAAAAGCATGCAATTTCATAAAAGTGTTCATCCTTTGAAAACAATCTCACTTTATCGGATGCATTTAGAAGCGCCATTGCACTTATAACTTTAGAAAACGTATTTTTCTGCTTTTCTTTTCTACTTAATTTAATGCTCGATTTATATCGAGCCCTCACCAAACAATGGTGCTGATGGAATTGGCGAAAGATTATCGCTTCGGACCATACGAAGACATCGATGTCGGAGGGCATCACGAATAACGCCGGGAAAAAATTTAGATATTCGCACCTCTATGTGATGTTACTTGCAAAAGCATCACGTTTTCCCTTGCAGGTGATGTCCGCCAGGTTGGTAATCGAAGGTTGTATTAAAAAATAAAACACAGGGAGAAGGAATGATATAGAAGTGAAAGAACATGTTAAAGGATTTTCTTTTTTTATGAAGGTTTGGGTAGTTTGGCTTTTAATTCAGTCATGGTTGTTTAATGAGGCTAAATTTTAAGGTTGTTTTTTTGTGGTTGTTATATGGGGCGTTAGTCAGGAGGAATGTAGTGGGTTTCTTGAGGATATATTTAAAGAGGAAAGATATGTGGTCTTAACGTCTTTTACTTCTATTTTCTTGCTGAAAAGAATTTTTTTTATGATGCATTAATTCCTTTCTTAGTTTTTTTTTCTCTTTCGTTAATTTCTTTCATTTTTTTTTTTTCTTCCCTATTTTGGATTCTTTGGAACTCATTGTATGATTTCAGAATATAGTTTTGCATTTCCTTTTAACTTGCTTTCATTAAATTTTATTTTTGTTTTTCTTTCCTTCCATTCTTCTTCCTTACTTTTTTTTTTCTATTTATTATTTTTTTTAATTCTTTCATTTTTGTTTTTTCTTCATCTCCGTGGTTGTCCTTTCTGTTTATCAATATTCTCTTTAATTTTTCTTATCTCTGTTCTTTGATCAGAAATATTCTTTTAATTCTAGTAAATATATTTTCCTAACGATCATTCCTTTTTTATTTCTGTTTATTTAACAGTCTTTCATTTTCCCTTCATTTTTTTTTGTTTTTCTTTTTTATTAATTTTTGTTTTCTTTTTTTTATTCATTCTTTATTTTTTTCTTTCTTCTTACTTTCTTCCTTGTCAATGATTTCTGCTTTCTTTCTTTTTTTTTTTTCTTTCTTTCTTTCTTTCTTTCTTTCTTTTTCTTTCTTTCTTTCACTATCATTCATTGTTTCTTCCTATATTGTTTATTTTTTATTTCTTCTTTCTTTCTTCCTTCCGTCATTTATTACTGCTTCTTTCTTTCTTTCTTTCTTTCTTTCTTTCTTTCTTTCTTTCTCTATCATTCATTGTTTCTTCCTATATTGTTTATTTCTTCTTTCTTTCTTTCTTTTTCTTTCTTCCTTCCGTCATTTATTACTGCTTCTTTCTTTCTTTCTTTCTTTCTTTCTTTCTTTCTTTCTTTCTTTCTTTCTTTCTGCGTTTTTTTTTGTGTGTTTGTTTCTTGCTTTCCTTCCTTCTCTTATATTTTACCATTTTCCAGTATATCTTTTACGTTCTATATTTTATTTTATTCGTTTTCTCTTTCTTATTCATAATTTATTCCTCTTCTTCCTTTCCTTTTTCTTTCTTTCATTCGTAAAGTTCTCATATTTCACTGTTTCCTTCTTCCACCCTCTCTGTCTGTCTTTCCTTTCTTTATGTATGTATGTATGTATGTATGTATGTATGTACATATCCTACATATCCTCCGCTTTTTCTCTTTCTTCTTATTTTCCCTCCTTCTTTTGGTCTTTTTTCATTCCTTCAAGTTTTATTTCTTGGAATCTATTTTCTTTCGTTTATAATCTAATATTTTATCTTCTTTTTTCTCATTTCTTTTTCTTTTTTTTTCCTTTCTTTTTCTTTTCCTTATTTCTTTTTTGTTGTTTTCTTTTTACCATCTTTTTTTCTTTTATTTTTATTTTTCTTTTATTATTCATATTTTCTTTCTTTCTTTTTTCCGCCTTTTCTTTTCTTTTTTTTATTTTTTCGCTGTTTTTGCGTCTTTTTCTTTTATTTATTCCTTTTTATTTTCTCGCTTATTTTTCTTTTCGTTCTCTCTTTTTTACTTTTACAATTTTATGTTTCCCTATTCTTATTCTATATTCTGTGCTAGAGTGGCTTTGCAGCAACTTGCACAACTGTCCATTTAGCTTGTAAAGGCAGGGCGTGGTTTTCTGATACGGTACACCTTTCTCTCTCTCTGTCCCTCGAAGACTTTAGTTTTACTTCTTGCATTTTCCTTCAAAATAACCTTTCCACTTTAAAATATCATATTATTACCTTTAGAATCTTTGAACATCCGTAAAATCTTCCTTTTCAAGGCCTCACATAAAAAAATGGCTAAATTTCGTTTCGTAGCCAAGAGGTCTAAATCCATTTTGGTAAGCATTAAAAGCAGAATTGCAGAAACGAAAACCGAAAAAGAATTTAAAATCAAACTAAAATGGTCTAATAAAAGCAGTAAAAATAAGTTTAAGCGAATATCGGAGCGATCAAGCAATTTAACATCCTATTTTTAGCATAGAACTGTAATTCTGCGGGCAATGACCAATGTAGCGTGACAGGGTACGTCAAAAATTAGTCGTTTCAAAAATAAAGGACAAGCGAGAGGAGTTTTCGAAAATAGATTCTCAGCGGGAATGACGTAGCAAAAAAAAAATGCGTGATGTCGGTGATATGCTGGAAGAAAAAGAGAAATCCGTTGAAATAAAGACGAAAGAAATTGACAGGAAGAAAAGAAAACAAAAAGAACGAGGTTTGGAGAAGGAAAACAACGAGTTAAAACTTAAATTGTGGTAAATATTGTAATGTAAAAAAAAAAGGACGTATGTAACCCATGCAACCTCATTCTTTCTCTCCCCCTGAACACCCCCTCTCTCTCTCTCTCTCTCTCTCTCTCTCTCTAAATATATATGTTTATCTATTGCAGTCTGTTCATTATCTGTTCTTCAATCTGTTTGTGTATATATGCATTTAAGTCCGTTTATTATCTATCTATCTATCTATCTATCTATCTATCTTCTCTATGTCAGTATATTCATATCTATCTATCTATCTATCTATCTATCTATCTATCTATCTATCTATCTATGTCAGTATATTCATATCTATATATCTATCTATGTCAGTCTATTCATATCTATCTATCTATCTATCTATCTATCTATCTATCTATCTATCTATCTATCTATGTCAGTCTATTCATATCTATCTATCTAGCTATCTATCTATGTCAGTATATTCATATCTATCTATCTAGCTATCTATCTATCTATCTTCTCTCTCTATGTCAGTATATTCATATCTATCTATCTATCTATTTATCTATCTATGACAGGGTATTCGTATCTATGCATAAATTTATTTGTATATATATATGTATATATTTATTTCAGTCCTGCTTTATCTATCTATTTATCTATGTCAGTCTATTCATGTCTATCTATGTTTATAAGTACCTATGTATTTCAGTCCGTTCATTATGTATCTATATATATATATATATATATATATATATATAGAGAGAGAGAGAGAGAGTGAGAGAGAGAGTGAGCTATCTATCTATCTATCTATCTATATATATATATATATATATATATCTTCTCTATGTCAGTGTATTCATATCTATCTATCTATCTATCTATGTCAGTATATTCATATCTATATATCTATCTATCTATGTCAGTATATTCATATCTATCTATCTATCTATCTATCTATCTATCTATCTATCTATCTATCTATCTATCTATGTCAGTATATTCAGATCTATCTATCTATCTATCTATCTATCTATCTATCTATCTATCTATCTATCTATGACAGGGTATTCGTATCTATGCATAAATCTATTTGTATATATATATGTATATATTTATTTCAGTCCGTGCTTTATCTATCTATTTATCTATGTCAGTCTATTCATGTCTATCTATGTTTATAAGTACCTATGTATTTCAGTCCGTTCATTATGTATCTAATATATATATATATATATATATAGAGAGAGAGAGAGAGAGAGAGAGAGAGAGAGAGTGAGAGAGAGAGACGATGCACGCTTAAAATCAGAAAATACTATATTTCGCAATATATATATATATATATATATATATATATATATATATATATATATATATGGGCAGCATATTTTTATTTAAGCGTGTTTGTTTAAATAATTTAGACGTATTTAGACGTATGTCTTTTTTTAGATTTAATCCTTTGAAAGTATTAAAACCTAAATCAATGGACATAATACGTCTTAATTATTTCGACAAACATATATATATATATATATATATATATATATATATATATATATATATATATATATATATATATATATATGTGTGTGTGTGTGTGTGTGTGTCGTGTCTGTCTGTGTGCATGTGTGTATGTGTGGGTGAGATTGAGAGAAAGAGAAAGAGAGAGTGTCACTGAGTGAAAGTTTGAATTAAATACAGATCAAATATGGATCGGAATACGAGAGAATGCGCAAATAAACAACAGATACGAAACGTGTATCCAATATCAAAACTTCATCAGAGAATGAGATATAAAGAAAAGAAGAAAAAAAATCTGATATTTTTACTATGCCGTTGTTTGATATTCACTGGTTAATCAGCTTGCTCGTCCAATCGACTTGTTAAAGAAAACGACTGTATAATTTATGGCATTCCGCATTTAAGGAGAGACGACACGTACCTTCGAAGTTCCAAACATAATTGAAAAACCGTAAATAGTGCTTTATGTATGTAAGTATATAATAATTCTATTTTGTCTATGTGGGATTCTGATGATAATGTATATTCGTAAGTGTATGTGTGTGGTAGACATTAGATTTGCTGGTTTTTTGCAGGTTCATTTACGAACGTTTTTAAATATATTACTGGTTGTTTTAAATAAACGAATGTTATATTCTTTAAGAATAAAGTATTTACTAAAATTTGACGATGTAATGTTATATTTATAACATGTGTTTATAGTTGATAATATAGTTATCCCTCGAAGTACTTTCGGCGTAAAAATTATGCTTTTTTTAAATTTGCATTTATAAAATAAAATTTGTGCCCTCTTTGAGAGTTTGAATGGTTTTCTAAACGCAAATCTTTATTATGTTCGTACACACGGGCGTTTAGATTTCGTGATGTCTCTGCAATATAAATGCGATGATAAATTCTCGTCAAGTCTGTTTGTTCACTTCCCATTAGAGCTGCAACTTAATCATTTTCCTCCACCTATGAGTTAAATAGTAGGGCAGGCATACCTCTCCATGATCACTCTTGCTGGTCCAGTTTTCCTCTCTACTGTTCCCACTGTTTAAAACTTATTCACCGTTTTCTTGAATGAAGTTTGAAGTCGGAGTACGAATATTGGTAACATTACCGAAGACCGGAATGAAGTTTTTCCTCTCACCATCGCTCATTTGGGAAGATAGTGGGTGTGACACAAAACGATTTTAACCTGTTCTCTTTCGAGCTGAATAACTCAAAAGATTTTTTCAGTGATTCTTACGAGAAATAGTGTCAAGATGTCCAAATGTCATATCTGAAAATCTGGAAAAAAGAAAAAATTAGTTTAGTGGTTGTTTAGAAATTAAACATTTTGTGAAATGGGCAATTATGCTGTTACACGATTTGGACAATTTTGATGTTACACTATTTGGACAATTTTGCTGTTACACGCGGTATATATAGACGGTGCCCATTAAACAAAAAAACGGAATATTTTTATTGTCAGTTTTTTATCTTTCAGGAATAAATTTGGATAAATTTCTTGAACATTCACGACTTTGAATAATCAATCGACTCTGGTGTAATTTAATTACTTAACTCTGATTGGTTCCTTTATGATTGATTAATTGCTGTTCGATCTTTTTGACTCGTTATTTAAAAGTCATTAGCAGACAACTTTCGTCTTTTTTTCTGCCCTACTCGTATGGCTAAACAACTCATTGATTTTGTTTTCAACGGTTGTCCTAGTTCTTTCTGATTTTACCGCTTTTTTTCTTGTTGCCCTATATATATATATATATATATATATATATATATATATACAGTGCTGTTCGATAAAAGTGACTCACCTGATTGGACTTATGGAGCATGTTGCTCAACTGCTTTCTCGAGAGCCTGTACTTTATAATGCTCCATAGGTTTTTCTATGGGGTTGAGGTCAGGAGATTGGGGCGGCCACGTCATAACACCCATAAGCTTCTCATCAAAGTATTCCTTCATCAAATTTGATTTGCGACAGGGAGCATTATCCTGCATAAAAAATTGCACCATTTCAGCAGAAGGGAACAGACAAGACTCTAAAATTCTCTTGTACTGCTCGCTCCTGAGATTCTTTTCAATAGGTTTTAAGAAACCAGTTCCATGAAAAGAAAAGCATCCCCAGAACATTATACTGAACCGATGCTTGACAGTACTTACTGCTAAATTCAAAGAGCTTTCAAAGCTTCTTCGAATTTTAGATCGCTTATACTTTGAATTTAGCTCAACTTTCTTTTCATCGGAGAAGAGAACATTTAGTATAAAAAAAAGATCGGGTGATCACTTTTATCGAACAGCACTTTATATAGTTAATTTAACAAATCCGTTGGTATATAATGCAGTTGGTTCCTAGTAATATGAATATTAAAACTGATCCACAAAAAGAGCTCAATGTATTTATTATTACAGAGCAAATAATTAATAAACAATAAAATCCATAATCACCTCACATGTGGAATAGCCTATTTCCGTAGACGAAGATAACGGTCGTCTGTCTTATCAACCCCGTTGGGGAGTGAGTTCTGAGTGTCAGAAACAGAAATTTAATTGTGAAAGCTTTTTTTTTTCTTTTTCAGTTTTCACGGTCAAATTTCTATTTCTGATATGAATTCGTCCACACCAGGGTTGATAAGACAGACGACCGATATATTTACGTCTACCGAAATAGGCTAATCACCATATGATTTGATTTTGGATCTTATTGCTTATATATATATATATATATATATATATATATGTATACAAAAGGAAAAGTTATCCTAGCCGACGCGTTCCGTTCACTGATGGACTTTATTAAGGCAAGTGTAAGCATTTTATTTTACAAGTATTTATAAAAAAAAATTACTGATACTTCATCAAAATTTTAAGAGACGCCAATGAATTTTCCTCAGGCTAACTGTAAAGTCTAGGTAAATTATGGAAGGTGTTAAATGATGTAATTTAATGTCAAATAAACAAAAGTAAGTAAGTGATGCTGATATAAAAATAAATAACAGCTTATAAATTTAATCGTATTCTTTTAAATTTTTAACATTTTTAGGGTCCTGTATGATGAATTGGGAAAGGAGTAAACCATTCACGAAGGGGTGGGGGATATTTGAAAAAAATCCGGATTTATATTTAGACAATATACGACAGCGGCAAATTCGATAATTTTCCGTTACTTTCTCTTTTATTAAGTGTGACATTCTTTAGTTTAAATTTGTGGTTATTTTCTATGTTTAATTAATGAATTTGATAAATTCTTGTGTATAAGATCCTTTTTGCGTTTAGATCTACGTTTTTTTTTTTTTCAAATTTATACGGTCGAGGTAACAAAGAAGAGAGGCCATTAGAAAAACTGTCATGAAAATATTTCTAGAAAAGACACAGGGAAGAAACATCTGTGGGGAAGTGATCGATTATATTACAGACATTTCTTTGGATTTTGTCAGGAATATCGAGACTCAGAGAAGTAGCATCATGACAGGGTTGAGTGATAGATTTATAAATGCGCCAGATGAATTCTGACGAAAGAAAATTGATTGGTACGACCATATAAACTAACTTTACACAGCAACAGAACTTAGAATCGGTTACATGTAATCTCTCCATTTTATATCATTGAGACCAAGTAGGTGCAATGCGTTATTCGCTTGGAGGTTAGCATCAGCCGTACTGCCGGTGGGACAAAACTGATATAGCAGTTTCGTTTCGTGCGTTAGGATATACAAACCATTTCTTGACTTATTTAACAACTGATTGGGGCTCAAATTCGAGGACCTGTGCTAGTTTTAAAATATCGAAATTATAGCACTTACTAATAAAAACGGTTTATATTATTCCTACAAAAGACTTCCACGGCAATTTTGTTCATTCTCTTTTATTTTTACATGCAGTCCAATTCCCTAATTGTTGTGGTAGGATCCACCTAATTTGCATAGTGGAGTACCGACCATATAAATGTTGGTACCGGGAAGACGAGGGAAGGAATCAAGAGATTCAATCCAGAGACTCTGCCCGACTGCGACTAAGTCAACACATTCTCCAGGAACGGTCTTCCCAAGAATATACAAAAGACTATATGTAAATATTGTGTACACTTTCTTGTTTCAATACATTTGGTTCTAAGTACATTTTGTGTTGTATTATTATTCCATGCATTAGTCAAGTTTCAACACTAATCTAGGGCCAATAAGGGATATTTAAAAACAAGATAAATAAAACTAAAACTAAAAGTGAAGTAAGCCGTTAGTAAGCCGTTATACGTGTAACACTTTCTGCCTCCCATCAGGATGGCTGATTCCCGACTCCAAGATAGCGACTCTCTGCGCCTGATTGATCTCATGCTCTCAACCGACCAGAAGTGGAACAACTACATTGAATCTCTAGCTTCATCTACCGCAAGATTTGGTTAAATGTGATGCGCCAGAAAGTTTTTCTTGCCTTCAAATCTACCAATCAACCATTCGTCCGTGCATGGAACACTATTGCCATGTATGGTCTGGTACTCCCGCTGTTCATCTAGACAAAATCCAAAGACACATATGCAGTGTGGTTGGTCCCAATCTGGCT